TCAGACAAAAACCTCCAGGTATTCAGCTGAAAGGCATGCTGCCCCTTGAACACCTGGGAGTGGACTTCACTAAAATGGAACCTCACTGACACTACCATTACCTGCTGGTCATGGTATGTACGTTCTCAGGATGGGCAGAAGATTTTCCTACCTGGACTGAAAGAGCATCAGAAGTAGCCCGGTGCCTGCTTAGGGAAATAGTTCCCAGATTTGGATTTCCTACCAGCATTGGATCAAACAATGGCCTGGCTTTTGTAGCTGATTCAGTACAACAAGTAAGCAAAACTTTAAACATCAAATGGAAACTGCACACCGCCTATAAGCCCAGAGTTCTGAGATGGAATGAACCAACCGGACACTTAAAGAGACTCTCCAAGTGAATCGTAGAGACTGACCGCTCCTGGGTGCTTCCGACGGCTCTGCTCAGACTCGGGATGACCCCACAGTCCCAAGGCTATTCTCCATACGAAATTGTGTATGGGAGGCCCCCTCTGATAATAAAACAGGTGTCAACAAATTTGCCTCAGATAAGGGGTGATGGGATTTCGCAGCAGATGGAACTGGGTAAGGTAAATTGGGTAACTAAGTTTGTACAAGAAAGGGTGCCATTCCCCCTTGGGGAACAGATTCATGAGTTTACGCTTGGTGACCAAGTATGGGTCAAAGATTGGAAACTTGATTTACTAGCCCCTTGGTGGAAGGGCCCTTATACTGTTATTCTAACTACCCCTACTGCAGTTAAAGTTGCAGGTATTGCCCCTTGGATCCATCGTACAAGGGAAAAGAGAGCATACCATGCAGACCCAGAAAACGCTGAGTGGACTGCACAGAGGGACCCCATTGACCCTCAAGAGACTAAGACCATCCTTAAGAAGAAGGAAAAGAAGATCCCGGACGAGCCCCTTAAGGCTGAAGCCGCATAATCAACTCCTGCTGCTTGGTCTCATCAATGTGCACATTCCTACGCCAACTTCCACAATACCTCCAACTGTTGGGTATGTGGGGCCATGCCTTTGTTTGTGATGGATGGACTTCCCTGGTGGCTGTCACCGCTCGGCCAAGGAGATTTTAAACCACTCTGCTCTTTCCTGGGACACTACCATAATCCCTACCTGCTCTCTGGGTGTAAGCCAGACCTACAGTCAACAGACTCAGGTCATAGGGTTACATTTGATATAAATGCCAGTGTAACAAGAGCCTAACCTACAACAAGCCCCGGTAAATCTACCTTATTTACATGCTAGGTGGACAAGATCTGTGTTTCAAGGGTATGAGTATATTGCTGCCTTATTAATACCCTCTATAGGGACAACAGATATTATGATTAAAGTAGAGGCCTTGACTAATTTCACAAAACAGGCCCTTCTAGATAGAACAAAAGCCATGCAAGCCTTAAATGAAGAACAAATCCAAATAAGAAAAGTGGTAATTCAAAATAGAATGGCTTTGGACATACAGCGGTTCAAGGAGGGACCTGTGGTATAATTAAGGTTGGATGTTGTGTATGCATTCCTGACTTATCTGGCAGTGTATCAAATGCTTTAGATGACTTGAAAAACCAGGTAAAAGCAATGTCAAATGAAAACATTCCTTTCTGGACTTTGGTCCTATCTTGGGTGAAGGGTGACTGGTGGAAAACTACATTTACCATTGTTATAGTCACCTTGATAGTTCTGCTTTGTGGACCCTGAATTTTACAATGTATTATGAACTTTGCATCCCAAAGGTTGATGTCATGCTCCCAAATTGGTGGTCGGAGAGCCAGGGTGCAATATATCCCTATGAATGATGCTCATAATACGAGTTAAGAGCATCAAGAGGGGGGAATGAAGGAGGAAACAGACAGAGCTGGACTCCGTCTTCACCCAGGCAATGAACATTAGGCTACATGCATGGTCACCCTCCCAATGGACTCTGAACTCCGTGCCTGGTGTCTATAGAAGTGGCATACCAATGGGAAAACAGACCCCCCGAATGAAAGAACCTCAGGACTTGGTCTTGGACACTCCATTGCCTAAAAGAACATGCTAATTATCTCTGTAACAGAACAAACTGGTAAATTCCATTATGTTTATCGGGATATGGCCACAGGCCTATTGATAAATATCCACTGTTTACCTAGTCTTGTGACACATGAATCATGGGTTAACTTTGATTTTATCTCTCTTTTACCTCGTCCAGACTAGTTTCAAGGAATCTGGGGAGGTGGGTTTGAGCAAGTACACTTAGGGTTTATAAGGTTTTCACAAAAACTGGTTGGGGTCCTTGGCTAAGAGGAAACTCTGGCTTGGGCCTGCCGGTGTAATAAACTACACTCCACTATCTACATTGTCCTTCTGAGTGAGTTTGTTTCCCGGGATGCATGGCTACAACAGGCTCAGGGTGAAATCAAAAGCAGGTGCTGCTCACACGGAACAGAAGGAACGGTGTGAGAGGAGAAGAGGGCCAGGGTGGGAGCCGGGGGTCCTGGGATCCAGCTCCAGCTGCACCCCTTATTCCCCTGGGCAGGTCCCCAGGCCGATACCTCAGTTTCTTCATCTGAGAACTGAATATGGTAGCAAAATGGGGACAATTCTAGCACAGGACCTGTCGCACAGAGGACAGTCAGCAGATATGTCTGAATGTGGGCCTTTTTTCCCTTGTGTCTGGACGCAGTCCCTTCAGTATGAAGCTGTGGTGTGGTGGGCACAGAGCCAGACAGCCTGGGTTCAAAAGCTGGCTCTCCACGGTGTGACTGCGGTGCTGGGGGATGAGGGTGAAGGGCCCAACCCCTCATCTCTCGCTCTGGGCGTCTATCTCTTCTTTAACAAAATCCAGGGATTGGACTGAGCTGTCAGGAAGGGAAAACCTGTGACACACAACACACACTACCACTCATTCATTCCCTGGCCGTGACAGACATGAGCAGCCGATCACAGCACCACCACTAACTGAATTGAGCCAGATGCAGCTTCAGCATCCCCTGACGCCCAGCAGCAGCTGGGTGACCTTGAGTCCCAGTTTCCTCTTCTGTAAAATGGCCACACCCAGCTACCTTATGAGGATTAAACAAGATAATATATTCAAATTGCACTGCCAACAGTCGGGCTCTAGCAGGGGTCTTTTTCTGCTATCATCTCCAAAGACTAGGCTGGGAGATCATCTTCCAGATCAGCAAGGAACAGTGTGGTGCAGTAGAAAGAGCTTGGGCCTGGATGACCTCAGGCAAGCCATCTTACCTTTCTAAGACTCAGTTTCCCCGGAATAAAATGGGCTGATACTTACCTTATAGGATGAGCATAAGGATGAAATGAGTTGATCAGAAAAAGACATCAGAAAAGCCATGAGCTCAGTAAATGGGAAGAGGTGAGCTACTTGTGGCACTAGTGGTAAAGAACCCACCTTCCAATCCAGGAGACGTAAGAGACGCAGGTTTGATCCCTGGGTTGGGAAGACCCCCTGGAGGAGGGCCTGGCAACCCACTTCAGTATTCTTGCCTGGAGAACTCCGTGGACAGAGGAGCCTGGTGGACTACAGTCCACAGCGTCACACAGAGTCAGACACAATTAAAGCAACTTAGCATGCACACAAACGTGAGCTCTCTTGACCTGCCCTCCTCTGGCTGAGGCTTTTAGGGGTGGGTATGCAGGCTGGTGTGAGGGGATGAAGGCTCCTCAAGGCAGGGTGTGGCCTCCTTGTAAATTCCCCCTTGAAGCCCTCTATTCCCAAGCCCACCAATGATGATGGACGTATCAGTCTTGGGTTGTTACCCCTCCTGCACTGGAAGGAGCCAAGGTCCCACTAAAGTGAGAAAGCTGGGCTGCGGCGGGCGTGGCCTCCCCCACCAGATCTGGGCCCTCCCCTCCCAGGCCTCATCCTTCCCTGGGGTCCGCCATTGGTATCGGTCCTACCCCTGCCCTCTGCCAACTGCTACTACGAATACAACCAGCCTGCTTCCTGGCCTCCCCTGCCAGCAGAACCTGGCCAACCTAGTTCAGACCCCAGAGACTGCCTTCTCTGAGGTGATAGGAAGCCTGTTGAACTCAACTCCTGACCCAACTCATGGAGTAACTTGGGGCCTCAGATGCTTCACCTGGAAAGTGGGGAGACTGACAGGAACCATCTGCAGGCCTTCCAGCTCTGAATCCTCATGCTGGAGATCCATCCCAATCTCCTGCCCCTCACTGAAGTCGTTGCTATTGTTCAGTGTCTATGTCCAACTCTCTGTGACCCCATGGACTGCAGCAGGCCACGCTTCCCTGTCTTTCACCGTCTCCCAGAGTTTGCTCAAATTCACGTCCACTGAGTCGGTGATGCCATCCAACCATCTCATCCTCTGCCACCCTCTTCTCCTTTTGCCTCAGTCTTTCCTTAGGCATCAGGGTGAAGGCAGCAGCTTAAAACACTCCTCTGAGTGACCCGCTCCCCTCCCTCCCTCCCGTCTTGTTCCCATTCTGTGTGGGTGATGTCTAACCACCTCTGTCGGCCCCCATGTGCTGGTCCCCTGCCCAAAACACCTTCCTGTCTTCCGTCTTGTGTACTCCTGCTCTTTACCCAAGGCCCTGCCCAAAGGCCACCTCCTCTGGGAAGCCTTCCCTCCCTTCCTTCCCAGGCAGCCAGTCTCAAACTCCCCTGGCGACTCTCACCCCCACTGACTTGTGCTGATGAATAAGGGAAGCTGAGTGGACAAACTCAGGCGGGCGGGTGGGGACTAGCCAGCCACACCCAGAGGAGGAGAAGGCAACTGGCCCTGGGAGGACGCCTGTGCCGGAATCTGCTACACAAGTAGCTGAGAAATAACTACTACCGGTTGTCTTTGGGCAATGAGGACACCGCTTGCTTATTACAAAATATCCTTTATTGATAAAATAGTTCGGACTTTAAAAAAAAATAAAAACCTGCATATCACAAGCAGACACCAGCAACAACAGCAGGGGTCCCGTGGGGGCACACGTGAGGCTGGTCAGCAGATGACACAAGTCAGCCCCGCCCAGGGCCCAGGCTCACACTGAGGCCGGGGAATGAGCTGGATGGCCTCCTGCCCCGGGAGCGACGCGGGTCCCCTCCGTTCTCTCCAGCCCAGAAAACTCCCCCGGCATCCCTCCAGACCCAGCCAGGCCCATCGGCATGCCACCAGTGCCTGTGCTGCTCAGCCCAGCCCCCAGGATAAGATGCTCACCGGCCTAATGGCAAAGCCAGGTATCCCTGTGGGGAAGGCTGCGAAACGTCCTCCCAGAGCTCCCAGTTGTTCCGGGAGGGAAGGGAGAGGGGACCAAGAGGAAGAGGCCCCTGGAGTCCCCTCAGCGGGTCTGAGACGGGCAGACGGCGCCCACCAGGGGCAGCATCAGCTATGCATCACACGGGTCCACATGGGGCTTGAGTCCAGCCTGGGGACTCCAGTGGGAGGCCCCCCAGGAGTCCACGGGGCCCCTACCCACCTGCTCCAGCCCCAGCACTCCACCACACACTCTCGTCTCACGCCATTCCCTCTCGCAGTGGGTATCTTTAGCGATCTTGGGGAAACAGTCACCAGCTTGATGACAAAAGATTTCTCCCCCACTGTGGGGGAGGGGGGCCCAAGCCAATGAAAACTCTCTTGGTGTTGCAGGTGAAACGTTAAGACATTGTCATGCAGCATAATAACTCAAATCTTTGCAGGCTTAAGAACACATTCTCAAAGAGACCTTTGAGCTGAAACTGTGGTTCTGTCTGCCACTCCCCACTTCCAGTTTAGGGTAGGAATTCACACCCCAGCCATAGAACAAAAGTCTACAGGAAGACAGGCGGTATACACAGAAAAGGGGGTTTTTTACATTACTGAAAATCACATTTTCTGGTTCTCTAGTGTGTTACCCCATGGAGCACAACACTTTCAGCCATGCCTTTCATCTCCCGGCGGCAAGTAGGCAGCAAGCTATTGCCACCCCAGTTTTTGCAGGCGGTGAACGCTAGTGATCAGGGCTCTCCCGTCAAGGAGGAGGCCAGGCCTCCAGACCACCCCACTGAGGCATCCACACACCCACCTGCCTTCCAGAGGGGCGCCGAGTGAGGGAAATGATACAAGATTCTGGTCACCAACCCAAACGCAGGACGAAGGCGAAGAAGGGCCCAAAGACAGTTCCAGCCCATAAACCCCCACCCAGTGCCTCATCAGGACCTGGGCACCCAACACAGATGCCTGTTGTCATTTCTGCCTCTTCCTCAGCAGCAGGCCCTCCTGGAAAAAGTGGCAGGCTGGCTTCCTGCTGTTTTCCAGGGGAAGAAGAGAAAGGAATAAAACACCGAGAGCAAGTAGTCAACCAGAAGACATGGGGTTCTCAGGGAAGGGAAGCCCACCACTGGTTGGCAGGGGTCTGCAGTTCTGGGAGGGGAGCCCAGAACATTCAGCTACATTCAGGATGGGCCAAGCCTCGTCCATCTGCCCTTGCACGGGCAGTGGGTGGAGAGATGGCTCCCCACAGCCAAGCCAGCAAGTGTGTGTGTGTGTGTGTGTGTGTGTGTGTGGGTTAGTCGCTCAGTCATGTCCGACTCTTCGCAACCCCATGGATTGTAGCCCGCAAGGGGAGCCTTCAAATAGACCTCCTGAACCTCCTAGGGGGTCCCCAGGATGAGGCTTCAGGAACAGGAAGGGACCAGAAAGCCCCAGGGAGGTGGCCACCTAAAACAGGGTGAAGCAGGGCGACCCTGGCACCACCCCACACGGGCGGCAGGCTGGCGGGCTCACCAGGCCGTCTGGGTCCACTGGCGGCACAGGATCCTTCGGAAGGCACGGCGAAAGTCCTGGTTGAAGATGGTGTAGATGACGGGGTTCAGCGAGCTATTGCAGTAGCCGATCCAGAAGAAGAACTGGAAGAGGCCGTGGGGCACCTTGCAGTGCTGCGGGCAGATGGCACCCAGGCTGTAGCTGAAGAAGAAAGGGAACCAGCAGAGCACGAAGACGCCGATGACCACAGCCAGCACGAAGGTGAACCTCTTCTCCCGGCTCAGCTGTGTCCGCCGCCGCCACCACTGCACCCCCGCAGGGCCTGTGCCCCTGCCCAGGAGCACCTGGCCACGCAGGGTTGCCAGCACCCGGGAACCCTGTGCCTGCTGCAGCGGCGGGCTGCAAGCTGAGGAGGGAGACGCTGGCAAGGCCTGGGGCTCACAACCCTCCTCTTCCTCCTCCTCTGCCTCCTCCTCCAGAGATGAACCACAAACCCCTTCCTTCTGACCCTGGCCTGAGTTGGGGATGACAGGCCAGCTGGGTGGCAAGGCAGGAGTGCCAGGGTCTTCAGGGGTCTCCCCCTCACCCTTCTCCCCTGGGCGAGGTTGGGAGCATCCGCTGGCCTCTCCAGGAGTGGCCAGTTGAGAGGCCAAGGTTGGCAGTCTGGCTGAGTCTGAAACTTCCCCAGGGACAGGGTGTGGCTGCTTAGACGCCCTCTCCCCAGGCCCCGCTTTGGCCCTGGGGCTTCTGCAATGGCTGCGCTTGGCGATCAGGTAGATGCGCAGGTAGACCAGAATCATGATAAGGCAGGGTGCAAAGAAGGAGCCAACGCTGGAGGCCAGAATGTACCAGGCCTCTTGGTTGAGCTTGCACTGAGGGCGGGCTGGGGGCTGGGGGCCCTGGTCGCCCTTGTAGATGAGGGGCGGCAGCGAGATGGCAGCTGCGATGAGCCATACGATGAGGATGATGAACTTGATGCGGCGCGGGGTGCGCTTGGAGTTGTACTCCAGGGCCCGGCTCACGGCCCAGTAGCGGTCGAGGCTGATGGCACACAGGTGCACGATGGAGGAAGTGCAGAAGAGCACGTCGAGCGCCAGGTACACCTCGCACCAGGCGCGCCAGAAGTACCAGTAACCCAGCAGCTCGTTGGCCAGCGAGAAAGGGATGATGAGGGTGGCTACCAGGATGTCGGCGGCGGCCAGCGACACTAGGAACAGGTTCTGCGGGGCGCGCAGCGAGCGGCTGGTCAGCACAGCCAAGATGACCAGCGCGTTGCCGAAGATGGTGAAGAGGATGAGGAAGGTGATGACCGCCGCGATGGCCGCAGTGGCCTGCACCGAGTAGGGTTCCTGGTGGTCCATGGCGGGGCCGGACGCCTCCAGGGCGGGCGCTGCTCGCCCCAGCGCGCGCACAGCCGGCGACGGCGCTGTCCCACCCAGGTCGGCTAGACGAGGGGGTCGCCCCCCTAGCGGTGCTAAAGGCGCTGAAGCCCCATGGCCAGGGCGAAAGTGGTCGGGGGACACCCCGGGGCCGGTCCCGGCCCTACTACATCCTGTGTGCCGGCGCCCGGCGCCCCTGCCGTCCGCCCCAGAGAAGTTGACCAAGTTGTCCCTCTGAGGTCTCCGCCCCGCCGGCAGTCAGGGGACAGTTGCGCCCTGACGCGGGGAGGCTGCTGAACTCACGCTGGGGCGCGGGGCCCGGCCGGCCGGGCAGGGGGTGCGCAGCCGGCTCTCGGAGGAGGCGCGGAGGCCGACCCGCTCCCGAGCTCCCGGATCCCGGAGCCGCGCCTGCAGGCAGCACGCCGCGGCCGGGGAGTGGGGAGGAGAGCAAGCGCGGCTGGAGGAGGGAGGAGACTGGAGGCGGGAGCGGGAGGAAGAAGGGAGGCGGGTCGGGCGGGGGCGGGGGGGGGCACACCCAGGGTGGGTGGAAGGTGCGCCTCGCTGGGGGGCGCGCGGGCCGCTGCCTCCCCGCGCCCCCGGCCTCCTTTCTGGCGCCCCTACCCTTTTCCTCCCGGCCTCCACCCTGCGGCAGGTCAGAGAGGCCCGGCGTCTGGGGTCTTCGGGACCGAGGGAAGGATGCTGGCAGAAGTGGAAGGGTCGGTGCACGAAAGGAGCCGGGACGCGGCGCTGGCAGGTCCGCGGGCACAGAGGCGGGATGTCTCTCCTGCGGATTGCGCGGCTAGGGCCGAGCCCTCGGGTCTAGAGGGCTGGGCGCAAGCAGATCTTCCCTCCCCGCCGCCCAAGAGCCCCAAGGAGAGGGTGGGTGGGTGTGTCGGGGCTCTGGCGCATCATAAACCACACGCGCTCCCCGGAGCCCGGGAGGCCAGAAGCCGAACGGAAGGCGTGAGGCGAGCGGGGAGACCCTTCCCCAAATGCTTTTCCGCCCCGACTGGACTCCGTCGGGCCTGCGGACCCAGAGGAGGCGCGCGTAGCAAGGTAGCGAGCGCCCCCTGCCGCCGCCCGCCTGCCTGCGAGCTCGTTCTCGGCCACCGGGGACCCCGCCGCCCGCCTGCGAGCTCGTTCTCGGCCACCGGGGACCCGCATCCTCACCGCGTCCTGGGGTCGCTGAGAAGGCCCCCAAGCCCAGAGGGTCAAGCAAGTGGTCAGAGCCTGGGATTGCGGACTTCAGCTTTCCTGTTTCTCCTGCAGATGCCTCAGTGTCCCTTATTAAGGGCCAAGAGGTAAGAAAAAACTGGCTTGGACTCAAGTCTCAGCAACACCTGAGACTCAGGCGGGGGAAGGGGGTGGGGGCGGGGGCGCAAACTCCGACCTCGTGACCAGTAGGAAGAGGATGTCCTCTGGTGCAGAGCGAGGAGATCTAGTCAAAGGCGGGGTCTTTTGACACAGTTTCTCAGACAGTAGAGACTCTGCCTGCAATGCAGGAGACCCAGTGTTGCATCTCCGGGTCGGGAAGATCCCCCGGAGGAGGGCATGGCAACCCACTCCAGTGTTCTTGCCTGGAGAATTCCACGGACAGAGGAACTGGTGGGCTACAGTCCATGAGGTTGCAAAGAGTCAGACATAACTGAGCAAGTAACTTTCATTTCAGAGAAAATGTAGGTTTCGGGGGCAGCTTGCAAGGGAAGAGCTGTGCAGTGACCCCCTCCCTGCTACAATCTTGCTGACTCCTTGCCCCATGCATGCTGCACACCCCTCTTGAAGTGGGAAAGTACAGCTGGGGTAAGAAGAAACTTCTGATTAAGCACATATTCAGTCCTGTCTGACTCTGCGACCCCATGGGCAGTAGCCTGCCAGGCGCCTCTGTCCATGGGATTTCCCAGGCAAGACTGGAGTGGATTGCCATTCCCTTCTCCAGATGATCTTCCCCACCCAGGGATCGAACACAGGTCTCCTCAATTGCAGGCAGATTCTTTACCATCTGAGCTACTAGGGAAGCCTGATTAAGCGCATACCCCACCCTGACTGCCTTCTGGCCTCAAAGTGCTTCAGAGGACAAGGGCTCCCCACGCACCCTCCTCCTACCCACGCTCCCTGTGGCCACTGCCAGCAGTGCCAGCCTGGAGAGCTTCAAGGGCATTTTTTCACTGTTTCCAGAGCCTTTAATGCTATAACCCCAGCCTAGACCCAGCCCTCATATTTCTAGCCCACAGCTGTACAAGGCATCCTCCCTATAAATAAGCATCAATCCACTTCTGAAAGTAGGGCTCCTCCGACGGACATGGCCTTGATCCAGCATGCCTGCTCCATCTTCACAGGAGAGAGTGTGGCCTCAAGGTGCCCACAGTGTCTCACCCCAGCCAGGCTCAGGAAAGGTGGTAACCGCCCCCAACACGGGGCATCTCCCTTGATCCTGGGCTCTCCCTGCCTCCTGCCAGCTGCTCTGTTAGACGCGAGTGCCCACAGGCTGGTGGGGAAGGTGCTGCCTAGGCTCGATTGGAGAGGCAGCCAGCCTCCCTGGTCCCCTCCAAAGACAGGTGTCGTGTACGCATCCTTCCACTTGCTGGGCTTCCACCCCAGGGTCACCAGGGATGGGGAGGAGTCATCAGACCCTTTGCTGAGGAAGGACAGATGGATGGCCATTAGCGCCTGGGAATCAGACACTTGAGCAAATTCCTGTCTATCCCCGTGGTTCCCTGCCCCATGTTCTCTGTCCCACGGCAGGGAATCTGAGCACTCTGGTGGCCCAAATAGGCTTTGAGAAGAACTACTTCTCATCCTCTCCAACCACTGTCAGGCTGGGGGGCCAGTGGGTATATCCCCAGACACTGCAATTCACAGCAGCGTTTTGTCTGCTGTCCTGTTTTCCTTGAAAGGCCAGGCCTCCAGGGCTCTGCAGAACTGCGGCCAGGGCTCCTCAATCCCACCCCGCCCCACTCTCCCCATGCTGATTCTCACCTGGGCCTTCCCCGTAGGGGTAGCTCCACATCCACCCACCCTGGGCCCTGCTGGGTACCACCCTTGGTTGAGGACAGCCAGAAAGAACCCACAGGAACCCACGAGGCTCAACCAACAGCCAGGCTCTGTGTCACCTGCTGCCATCCCCCAGCCCCACCCAGTCCCAAGACCAGCGGCTGGCTCTCGGGGCAGTGGGGGCTGATACATAACTCAACTCCCCACTGCTCTCTGCCATCACCTTCTCCCACACACACACCCCTTCCCCAGCTGCCTGCTCCCCTGAGCCCTTTGTGAGTCAGAGCCTCAGGCTGAAGCAGGGCTTCCTCCAGCCCTTCCCAAATGAACTCTGACCCACCAGTATCATCCTGCTCCACCAGGGCTGGCAGAGCTCAGTCCCAGTCCTGCACCCAGCCAGCAGCAGCTGCTGCTGTTACTGCCAGCTGCGTGTGAGGGGGAGGGGGAGGTAGAGGTGGTGACAGGCTCTGGTCCACCTCCCGTCCCACACCAGGCTACGTGCTGGTGCCTGGATGTGCCCTGAGCACCCACATCTCCAGTCCTTTCCAGGGACTGTTTGCTCTGCCAGAAACACTCTCCTCACCCTTCTTTCTGTGCTTGGCGGAGCCCTATTCTCTTTTCAAGGACCGTTCACCCATCACCACGTCTCAAGCAGAGGGAGGTACCCTGTCCTCCCTTGGTGCCACTTTCACGCCCAGACCACTATACCACGGTGGGGTCTGATGGCCTGTGGTACCACCTCTTTCATCAGAGCAGACATCCCTTCTCTGTCCGCAGTTCCTGGCCAAGATTGTTGAAAAGTGAAGAGCAATGGCAGTAGACATCAGCAGATGAAATACACATAAGCTTTTTTCAGACGGGTGGTGCCCAGATGAAGGAACCCCCAGGGATGTCCTTGAAAAGAGGGCCATGGTGGAAAGGTGACCTAGTAGCATCTTTTCCAAAGAAAGGGGAGACAGTTGTCCCATCCTGGCCATGAGAGCACAGCAGGAGATGCACCATGTTAGCTGGAAGCCCAGGAGCTTCTTCAGGTCCAAAAGGCAAGACTGGCCCCACTGACTCCTGGGCCAGGACACCAGCAGTTCAAGCTGCTGCACTTCCTGCCCTGAGAGCCCATGGGGACGATCCGCAACCAGACTGCACCCACCCCCAGCTTTCCCCAGAAGCCCCAGCCTTTTGAATCCCCAGGGACCTTACTCCCAGACCACCCTGTACCACCCAGCCTCCCCACCTCCCCAGACCCCTGAGCTGTGCCCTCTATGATGTCAGTCGGTCATCCTCTCTCCCTGCATCATACCCCGCCCACCAAAACCCCAACCCTGCTCAAACCTAAAATCATCCATCCTGCCTTTGACCAAGCGGCTGCTTTTTCCAGAGCAAAACGCTCACTTCATCGACTGGCTTCACTTTAAATTCGTGACCACAGATCTCCAGACGTTCCTAGTGTGGTCACTTCCCCACGCCTCAGAATCGGCATTCGTCTCCTGCTCCTCTTCCTGCCTGCGCCCTCCTCGCAAGCTGTGGCTTTGCCTTCTATTTAAGAGAAAAGGGAAGCCAACCCACAGGCACACATTCCCTACACACCTCCCTCCGAGCCGTGTCTCGGCTCTTGGGGCAGGTCCTCTGCATACACCCTGGACCTCAAGTCCTCTTGTGTCCCCCAGGAGTCTGCTCTGTTGATTATCCCTTCACCAGCTGTCACTCCCTCCAGTCTACAGGCCAGCCCCCTTTTTAGGAAGCCCTCCACACCCTGTGCATACATGCGTGTGTGTGCTAAGTCACTTTGGTTGTGTGCGACTCTTTTGCGACCCTATGGACCCTGTAGCCCACCAGGCCCCTCTGTCCATGGGATGGATTCTCCAGGCAAGAATACTGTAGTGGGTTGCCACGCCCTCCTCCAGGGGATCTTCCTGACCCAGGGATCAAACCTGCGTCTCTTACATCTCCTGCATTGGCGCTGGGTCACCTGGGAAGCCCCTGCAGCCTCCAGCGTCTTGTCTGCCTGGTCACTGCCTCTAGCCCCTCACATTCTCCCCTTCACCCTGTGCTGAGTCTGCTCCTGGGCGTCGCTCATGGCTCCACGTCACCAAGTGCCAGGCTGGCTTCTGCGTCCTGCTCCTGCTCAGCTTCTCAGCCACATTTTTACAATGGACCCTTCCCCGGGGGACACTCCACAGGCCCCGCTCCCTCCTAACAGGCCACTCCTCCTCAGCTACCTTTTCCTCTCCCGAGCCCTGAATCAGAGAGTCTCACTAAGACTGGTTCCCTTCCCAAGGACGCTGGGCGATGTCTGGAGACACTTTTGACTCTCACCACAGGAGGCAGGAGGTTGGTACTGGCATCTAGTGGGGAGAGGCCAAAGATGCTATCAGAGCACCTTACAAGGTCCAGCACAGCCCCTCTCCCCGGCGAAGACTCATCAGTCAGAAAATGCTGCTAGGGCCAAGACTGAGAAACTGCACCGGTTCCATCCTGGGATCCTTTCCTTGTGCACCTGAACTCTTCTTGGGGAAGCTCATCCAGCCCCTGGTGCCCACCTGGATGCTAATCAGTCTCCAAAGCACATCCCCTGCCCTGAACTGCAGACTCACTCAGCCCACACACTTCCTGACCCACCCATTTGACATCCAGTAGCCCCCGACTTACCTGGTGGCTCAGCTGGTAAAGAATCCACCTGCGATGCAGGAGACCCAGGTTCGTTCCCTGGGTTGGGAAGATCCCCAGGAGGAGGGCACGGCAACCCACTCCAGTATTCTTGCCTGAAGAATTTCATGGACACAGGGGCCTGGCCAACTACAGTCCACAGGGTTGCAAAGACACGACTGAATGACTAAGCACAGCGCAGCCCCCGACTTAAAACACCTATTTCCCCTGAACTCTCTCCCTTCAGTTCTTAAGGCTGATATGACTTCACCCCCTGCTCACCCAAAACACACTCCCAGAGCACCCACTTTCGCCCTTTCCCATCATCCCGTCACACTCGCTGGCACAAGCGCAGGGGCTGCCAGCTGTCCTTCCCGATCCCGGCTCGCTTCCCAAGGCGCATCCGGAATCACTTTTCAATATGATTTCACTCTTGGCTGCCGAGTCTCTGCTGTGCTCGGGCTTCTCACTGCGGTGGCTTCTCTTTTGCAGAGCGCGGGCTCAGTTCTTGCAGCGCACACGCTTAGTTGCTCCGCAGCTAGTGGGATCTCCCCAGACCAGGGATCGAACCTGTCTCTCCTGTGTTGGCAGGTGGATTCTTTACCACCGAGACACCAGAGAAGCCCCTGAATGAGTTAAAAATTTTAGGCCGGGTCTTGTCACCTCTCTCCTTAGAAACTTCCAGCAGGTGCCCCCTGCTGCTCTTGGAACAAACCATCCCTCCACAGCTGACCAGGCCCTTGCCTGCCCCCTCCTTACCGCCCACACACACCCCACACACACACACCTCTCCACACACGCTGGCCTGACACAGCTTGCTCTTTCCTGCCTCGGGGCCTTTGTACTGGCTGTTCTTTCCCCACATGGCCCCAGGATAGCAGCCTCCTGCCATTCAGGTGAAATGCCATCAACAAACGCTCCCCTCTTCCATCACTTATCAGTCCCAGATGCTGCATTTGCCTGTTTCCTGTCCATTCCTCTCCCCATCCCTGAATAAACTCCGTGACCATAGAAAACCTGCCATGTTCCCTATGTTATTCCCAGTGCCTATAACGGAGCCTGCCCGGCCCCCAAATATAACAGATGTGTGTTGCGCGAGTTAACAAACTGATGGATGAGCCCACAGAGCCGTGTGGTGGGTGACTGGCAAACAAGTCGCAGGCCGTGAGAGGACGTGGCTAGGCCCCCGGGGCTCTGGTTGACACCCCAGGGTCCCACACATATCACACCCTCCAGGCTGGGGCTCCGGGGACCAGACCATAACTGGATCATCAGGACAGTGTGGGGCTCAGGGGACAGGCCTGGGCCCAAAGCTGGCCTGGGGCCTGGACTCTAGTGACAGGCATCTTCTTGGGGGGGACAGGACAAGGACAGCCTTGTCCCTGATCACTGCCAAAAGAGAGTAAGCAGTCTCCCCATGCGGCATCAGGATCAACCAGCCCCTCTGCCCTGTGCAGAGAACCCAGCATCCAAGATCAAAGGCCACATGTTAACGGAGGCTCAAGACAGCAGCCTCTGCGAGCTGGGTGGGCCTCACATCACCTCCTCTGACCCAGAGTGGCCATCACCTCGGCCTGATGTCGGTGGCCTGGCTCGGCACTCCGAGACCCACAGGTCGTGAGGCAGCCATGCTGATGAACAGGCACACATACCATCTCTAGCATAGGGTTGGCCCAAAGTCAAGTCTTGGGAACCTTCCAGGGGAGCTGTCACCCTGCTAGGAGCAGGGCCAGAGCCTACTTCTCTACTGTAAACTGTGGCACCCCACCTCCCAGGCCTGGGAGCAGGTCAAAGGATGGCATCCCCACACCACAGTCCTTCCCTGACATGCACAGCTGAGCTCAGGCCCTTGCGCAGACTCAGAAAATCCTTGACTCAAGACTGAAAGCCCAGATAGACCGAGGGCAGAGGCCCCAGGCCCCCTGAAACAGTGAGGGGGACGGCAGAGGGCGCATCTCAGCCCTGCTGCACAGCCCTGTTCCCTTGGGCACACCAGTTTGCTTCCCTGAGTCTGTTCCTGCCTCTAAATGTGGGTCTCAGTGCCTAGAGGGCCCTTCCCAGAGCAGTCAGGAGAGGTCAAGGCACCCGGGTATGAAGTAGTCAGCACAGCCCAGCACCAGACTCCTGGAGCAAGTTCCCAACTTTATTTCTACTTTTCCCGAGGCATCAGGGGGACCTGGCCCCACTGGGACGGGCAGGGTCTCCTGCTGCCCTCCCACCCAAAGCAGGCCCCAGACCGGCACGGGGTGGGGGTGCGGGGATCCAGCTCGCTCACTGCCGTCCCCAGACTTTCTTGACCCTGAACAGCCCTCACCAGCGAGGCCAGGAGCTGAAGGAGAGGAGTGGGGATTGGCTGAAGGAAGACAATCAGGGCGACCCCACAGCCCCGTCCCACCTCCCGGGGCCTCCTCTGGCCACGGCTGGGGAGGGGCGGGGCCTTGGTAGAGGCAAAGATCCTGGAAAGAGCTATGCGGGTGACAGCAGCTTAGGGTCCTGACTCCAGGGTCCTCCTGTTCTTGCTGAGTTTCCCGCAGCAAATTTCCCCGCACTTAGAGCCCCCACCTCTTCATCTCCCCAGGAGGCAAGGGAGGAAGTGGGGCTCTGGAAGCCTCCTGGAGCGCAGGGCCACATTCCCAGGTTCCCAGCACTCAGACAACCAGGAGAGGGGCTGCTCCCAGGGTCCTGAGCCCAGGGCAGCCTGAGGGAGCGGTGAAGGTACTGTTAGTCCCTGTACGGGGCTGCACCTCAACCCCAGGGGGCTCCCGGGGCCCTCAGGGAGGCCCATCCCTCCAAGTCCCTGTCCTTGGAGCCGCTGAGAAGTCACCTCCCATCCCAGATTCCCCGGGGCTGAGGGAGGAGATGAGAACCGGCAGAGTCAGGCACCTGCCCCACAGGCCTGCCTCCCCCTGACTGACCTAGAGGGTCTCTCTGTCCTAGGAGCCCCTGGGGAAACATGACCGGGAAGGAAGGAGCAGAGAGAGGGGCCCAAGCCACAGACAGGGGAGCCAGAGAAGCTGGAAGGCAGGGGTGCAGTGCAGAGGGGCCACGGGGATGGAAGCCACAGGCTTGACCTCTGGGTGTCCTCATAAAGTGATTTCTGGGTGCACGGGCCCCTGGCAGAGCAGGATTCCCCAGAAGAGCCTAGATGGACGCAGATCAGTCTTCTAGAGAAGGGGCACTTGGTGCTGCCGGCTTGGTGCCAGGAAAATGTCAGAAAAGACCACCCCAGGCTTTGGCCTCAGGGAGGAAGCCGGGGGCTGACGGGGCGGGGTCGGCAGAGGCCTTCACATCAGAATTCCTCATGGTGGGGGGCTTCTGTGCACGAAGGCTCTCTTCAGACCCGGCAGCAGCAGCATCATGCTGGTCTGCCCCGAAGCCTCTGGGGTCAGATCTGGATTCCTCCAACAACGCCTGCAGAAGCTGCTGCAGCTGTGACCTAGAGCCAGGAGTGGGGCTCCTACCACTCCCAGGGGTCTGGAGCCCTAAAGCAGGAAAGACAGGTTATGTCCGAGAGTCACAGAGGGCAGTGTGAGAGCCAGAGCGCCCTTCAGCCTTTTTCAGAGACCTCGAACCCACCATGTTCCTGCCATGCCACTGCCCAACACCTTTGAAACCCTCATTCCCAACTCCCCAGAGACAGGAAGCTCGGAGCCATGCCGCTCTGTCCGCACTTGGCCCCAGAGGTCACCGTCAGAAGCCCAGGCCACTGGGACCTTCAGTGACCTCCCACCACACCCTGGTTTCGCTGATGGCCAGCCCCCTGACCGAGCACTGCAGCCCTCAGCACAAAGTCCCCAGGGCCTACACAGCAACACCTCATCTCTTACCTGTATCCGAAGCCTTTTCCAGAACTTTTCTTACACTTGCAGCTACGCCCAAACCCAGGGAGTCAGCAGGACACGTGTGACTGTCAGGCCCACGAGCTCAGCAAGGTGGGTCCTGTTGGCCCTTCACCGCCACTCCCAGACCACAGCTGGCAGCCACTGGCTACTTCATAAGCTCATCATTTTGGGCCCACGTTAGCTGGCTGGCCAGCCACACCGGCTAAGCACTACCTGCATCCTTGCCCGCCCTCCAGCTGCTTCCTAATGAGGCCTTGCATCTGTGAACACCAGCCCATGTGAGCTGACACGCTTCAACTCGTGACTTCGCAGGCCGCTCCTGCCCGGACCTGCGGGAAGCACGCCCCCTGCAGTCCGGGCCCGGCAGCGCATCCTCTGACCTCGGCCCCCTCTGCTTCCAGCCCACGCGCCCCAGTACCATGACCCTCCAGCCCCGCTGAGACCCCAGACCCCATCTTCTTGCTCCATCGCCTCCTCACTTCCCAAACACCCTCCACATCTGGCATGGGTCCCATAAACCTTGCTGCAGTCACCCCCTGAGACATCCCCAGGACCCCACTCTGGCAGAACTGCCCACAGCACCCCAGCTCTAGAGGAGGAGGTGACTACCTGAGGCCACCTCCGTCAGCTGCCCAGCAGCCCAGCACACCCCGACCCCACCGAGCGTCTCTCAGAGGTTTCCTCTCCTGGGCCCCAGCCAGCCACTCCACTCCACACCTTTCCCTCCCCACACATCCTTCTCTCCCCAGCCTCTCACCTCACTCTTGCCATCAAAGCCTGGGACTGAAGCCCCTCATAGCGCATCAAGACCACACACCAACTGGAATCTGCTCCCATCTTCTTCCTTGCCACTAGGTCCAAGAAAGTGCCTCAGCTCCCAAGGAGAGCAGCTCCTTCTTGAGTATTCTAGATATTCTTCTGCCCCATGAATCTGTTCCCCCTTATCCATGGGGTCATTATTTCCATACCCAAACTTGCTTGTATATCCACTATCTTGATGCACTTTCCATTGACTCATGACCACTTCTAGCCACCTCTCAATTCTGTTCTTAAAGCGAGTCAAACCTCTCAAATAGTTACCCACAACACTCTTGCCATTGCCTCCTATTGTTTAATTTTTTTAATCTTTCTAATATTTGATATCATAGGAAATAAGTCTGCAAAATGGTACTGGAGCTGCATAATCACATGCAAAATGACTGAACTATTAAGCACAGCACGTGTCCAACTCTTTGAGACCCCATGGACTGTAGCCCACCAGGCTCATCTGTTCATGGAATTTTCCAGCAAGAGTACTGGAGTGGGTTGCCGTGCCCTTCTCCGGGAGATCTTTCCAAACCAGGGGTTGAACCCAGGTCTCCAACATCACAGGCAGATTCTTTACCATCTGAGTCACCAGGGAAGCCCTGGCATACATGCAAAATACATTGGATTAAATCTACATGACCTTGAGTTAGGCAAATCCTTCTTAGCTATGACACCAAAAGCACAGTGATAAATAAAACATAAGTTGGACTTTGCATCAAAATTTTAAATGTTTATAATCAAAGAACACCATCTAGAAAGTTAAACAACCCATAAAATGTGAGAAAATATTTCCAAATGATATATCCTATAAGGGACACGTATTCAGAATATATAAAGAACTCCCACATTTACCAGTAAAAGACAACCCAACCAAAAAACAGGCAAAAGATTTGAACATTTTTCCAAACATATACAAAACACCTATAAGCACATAAAGAGGTATTCACAGCCATTCAGGAAATGCAAATCAAAGCTACAACAAAATACCACTTCACACCCACTTGGGCATGGTTATAACCAGAAGTGGTAACAAGGGCTTCTACCAGCATGCTGGTAGAAATGAAAAATAGTGCAGCCAATTTGGAAAACAATTTAGCAGTGAAGTATGGAGTTACCAAAGGATCCAGAAATTTCACTCCTAAGTATATATCCAAAAGAAAAGAAAATATATGTCCACATAAAATCTTGTACACGAATGTTTATTGTCCCACTAGAACTAGAAATGGCCCAAAAATCCTTTGATAAATGGATAAACAAAATGTGGCATATCACTCAACAATAAAAATGAAGTATAGTTGACCCTTGAACCACACAGGTTTGAACTGCATGAGTGCACTTATACGTGATTTTTCTCAGCAAACGTTCTACAGTACCACACAGTCAGTTGAATCCTTGGATGTGGAGGACTGACTGTGAAGCTGTAGGCAGTCAGAGGGTCTATTGCACAGAGGGTCAGCGCCACTAACCCTCAGACTGTTCAAGGGTCAGCTGTACTGATACGCTATGCCATGGATGAACCTTGAAAACATAATGCCATGTGAAAGAAGCCAATCACAAAAGATCATCTTGTATGATTCTGTTTATACGACGTGCCCGGAGTAGGCAAACCTATAGAGACAGAACGTAGAGTGGAGATTGCCTACAACTGGAGTTGGGAGTACACATGTGCAAAAACACTAAGGAGTAGATTCTGAGTCACGGGGTATACACACTTCAGCTTTACAAGCTGTCAAATTGTTTTCCAAAATGCTGCAGCAGTTTATACTCCTATCAGCAGAGTATGAGTGTCATCATTGCTTCATCATCTTATTTGTATTTGGCAGTATCTGACTTCTAAATTTCTGCCAATTTAAGGGATAAAAAAGGGTACTGTGGTCTTTATTTGCATTTCCCCAATTACTAATGAGGTAATGGTGATGAGGAAAGGTCACCAGGGCAACCAACTTCAGGAAACTCTTTCCTCACAAGAGGAAATAACTGTTGCCAGCTGATGGCTATCTCAGAAGCTAGGAGGCAGTCACCTGGTCACGCCCAAATGAAAGGGAAACTGACAAATAAAGGCTTTATCCCAGCCAGCCCTGTGCTCAGCTAAAAATCAGAGGGCCTGGTCTATAGCAGAGGGAACTATAGTCAACTTGTTACAATAACCTGTAAAGGAAAAGAATACTCGAAGCCATCTAGGTTCTCTTTCCCGTCAATCCTCATCACGCCTCCTGCTTCTCCCTTCCACAGCCACTGCCTGATTCTGCACTCTCATCCCTGCCTGGACCAGCTGCATCTTTTTAAAGGCTTAAAATGTATCTTAATAAACTGATGCTGCATTACAATACAACTGACTTTTGTATATTGATTATATTCACCTTTGAAAATTCTTATTAGTTCTAGTAACTTTTTTGTAGATTCCTTTCAATGCAGATTGTCGTCTATGAATAGTGACATTTTTTCTTCCTTCCCAAACCTCAAGACTTCATTTTTTGTTGTACCACAAGGGCTAAGACTTACTACATTGCTGAATAGATGAGAGAAGAGTGGAAAAACTTGTCTTAATGTTTTGACATTTAAAATGATTTTTGGTCTGGTTCTTTTGTAGGTATGTTAAGGTTAGGACAGTGACCTCTATTCCTATTTAGTAACAGTTTTTAATCCTAGCTGAGTGTTAATTTTTTTCAAGTGCTTTTTCTGCATCTGAATGGTGAGCCCCTGGTCTGCCCCTGCTCACCTCTACAGACTCACCTCCTAGCACTTGACCCTCACTAATGCCACCTCAACATAGGAGCCTTCTTCCAGCTCCTCAGATCGCTCTGCTCCCTGTCACTCACCTTTCCCACTGGGCTCGTGGCCACTTGGGCTGCAGTCATAAAACCTGAGGACCCGTGCGATGTCCGAGTTGCTGAGGTTCCAGCGCTGGCCAATGTGGACACTGGGGGCCCAGAGTGGGGTGATGGTGGGCAGCCCGCGCCGGCTGAAGGCGAGCCTGAAACCCGGAGGCAGGGCCTGAGTCCAGACGGCTGGGCTGGCAGGACCGCGCGGAGGGGAGGAAGCCAGAAGGGGTCCTCACCTCCCATAGTGCATCACTGAAGAGTAATCATAGGGCACCAGCATGTTGCTGCTCCGAGATTTGATGAAGTTCATTTCAAAACCTGAAAACATACTTGGCGATGGGGAAGAGGGCCAGGGGAGGAAGGGAAGGTGGTAGGGGGTTCCTGGAAGTGTCTAGCCTACCTGTGGGGGGTCAAACGACACCCAGAGTGCATCTCCTCACCCCACCCCCATTTCTGATCCCCGTCTCCTTGGTGCCCTGGGAGGGTTCCAGACCTGCGCCAGCTGATGGATTAGTACAAGCACAGGGACTGGTGGCTGGCCCGCCGTCACCTCCTAAGACTTCTCTCCCCCGTCTTTCCTCCTCTCAGGCTCACCCTGTGTGAAATATCTTTATACTAATATAGTCTACAGCTTTCAAGAAGTCCCACGCTGCTCAGAGCCTGGATGCCCACTACCAGCGAGATCAAGCACCTACTCCTCACCCCGCTCCTCCGCGCCGCCCCAGGCTTGGAGGCCTGTGAGTCCCCCATCTGCCATGGGCATACCCCCCCCCGCCCCGCCCCCCCCTGCTCAGCAGCAAAGCCTCTTGCCCTCCCTGCCTCCCGCCAACAGCACCTGCCCCACCCCCAACCCCAGGTGTGAGTTCAGCCTTTTCCCATTGGCCAGAGCGCTTGCTTCTTCCTGTCCCTTGGCCCCTCCAGGCCTGGGAGCAACAAGCTTCCCTCCCTCAGCTCCTCTCCTGCCCTTCAGTGAGCCTCTGAAAGAACGGCTGTACCCCCCACCTTTGCTCCCCCAAAGACCCCAGGCCCAGCCAGCTGCCTTCACATTCACCCATGGTCACCAGCAGCCTCCCTACCACTAAAATGGTAATCTAACACCCTTTTATATCCCATCCCTGCCTGGAAATATCTACCCAGTAGAGTACTTACTTTTTCCTTTGAAAAGCCTTTAAGTTATTAAACATAATTTTGAGTAGGCAATATATTCATCTGAGTCAAAAATCACAAAATATGAAGATACATAATGCTTCCCACTCCATCCCCCTCTGAGTTCCCATCTCCACAGTTAATTGATGTTACTAGTTTGTATTTTTTAGCAGTTTGTTCTGTACATATTAACTGAGTACAAACATTCTCATTTTTCTTCATTCTTAAGCAATTTTTTCCATTAGGGTAGCTGATGTTTAATTTTATTGTTAAAAGAAAAAAACAGCTTTTTCATTTATTGGTGCTGTTTTGTTTTCTAACTCATTAATTTCTGCTTTCTCCTCCAGTAATTCCCTCTTGCTTTTTTCTTTTAACTTGAATTGAAATGCAGAATTTGTCCTCTGTTTTTCTTGATCTAAGTATTTCAGTCTACATATTTTCCCTGTGCGTTGCTTTAGTTATGAACCCTTGGTTCTAATTTTCATGCTCTAAGAATTCCCGCAATTTCTTTAACTCCATAGCTTAAAAAAAGGTTTGTTGTTGTCTAAATTTTAATTTTCAACTGGATAACATTTTTCACTTTGATTTGTTACCAGCTTCTACTTTTTACATCACGATCAAAATGTTTGTATTAACTCTACTTTTTCAAATTTGAAGGTTTTGTGGCTCTCATAAGCCTTTACAAGGATTCCATGGGCACTTGAGCTTTTTTTTTTGTTTTCATTGTGCAACGACATGCTCCCTAGAATGGAAGCATGAAATCCTAACCACTGGACCTCCTGGGAAGTCCCTCCATAAGCACTGAAAGGATTGAGGTCTATTTTTATAGCATGATGTCACTATGGCCTCCCCACTTCTAGACTAATCTCTGATCTCAATCTCTATCCCCCATCCCACTAAGAGGTGCTGCCCATTTTCCCATCCCACTCTTGGCATGGGGGGCATCCATGTATGATGGCTGCTGTCTTGGGCCTCCTCCCCTAACTATAAAAACCCACAGCGGCAGCAAAGGCACTCATACCAGAAGCCCTCCTCTTACAGGAAGCCTTTCAAGCTTTCATTTGCTTCCATACCCCCAAACCCAAATCACTCACCTCCTCTGCTCTCCTCCCTCATGAATCAATTGTCATGACTCCTCTCACCTCCTATATCAGGCTATCCCCCTCTGCCAAAGGACAGGGCCTCACCGTTGCTGGAGTCAGATCCTTGGCACCATGCCCAGCACACAGCTGCAGCTCCCTGGCATCCAGTGCAGTGACCCACTCTCCAGACCAGCCTCAGCTTTCCCACTGCCACTTTTCAGGACCTGGGCTCCCTATACTTTATCCCAGAGGTCCATCAGCATCCATCTCACAGCGTATACAGGGTTGACCTCTACCTCCTGCATTGGGCACTTGGCACACACACACAGCCCACTACCTCTAAGATATCTGTCTTGGCTCAGCTCTTCAACCTGGAGCACAGCCCCTGCCCTGAGCTTCAGGAGCAGTGTCTAAGGCATGCAGGGCTGCTGGTTGAGTATAAGTGAGCAAGAGTCACAAGACCATCAACTCCATTCTTAGGTAACTGCCAGTGTCAGTGAAGAGAGACGAAAGAGGGGAAATTGATGCCCTAGTTCAGGGTAACTGTGGGTGGCACTGAAGCCTCGGGGCCCAGAGCAGCAGCATCTGGGTTATTCTCCATGTCTTGGAGGAAAGCAAGAATCCCACCTTCCCCATGGGAAACAGGCAGGTAGTGGGGAAGATGGACAATCTTTCCCAAATGGCCAGGCAAATTCCTTGGGCGCAGGCCATACCTGCCACCTTCCTCTGGCAGGACCACCTCTCCTCCACCTCCCCCACCATGCATGACCTGGCTTACCTGGGAGGATCTCATTCCAGTTCACACGGATGTAGCGGTCCCGGTCGGCCCGCGAGTGCTCATGCCAGAAGCCCAGCACGTGCATGAGCTCGTGCAGGACGATGCCCGGGCCCCTCTGGAGACAGCTGGGTCCTAGAGACACCACCTGCATCCCTCCACTGCGGCCAATGCTCGAGAAGCACCTGCATGGCCACGAAAGTGCTGGGTGGGCACCGGCCAGGAGAATCAGCAAACCCAGGCCCCTCGCCCCTCCTCCCACGACCTGGAATAAGGGAGCATCCAGAGCAAGTCCCGGTCCTGGGCTGTAGTCCCGAGCTTGCTGTTCCCAAGGCCCCCCACTGCCTGGCCCTCTGTGAACGGGGTGTGCTGGAACCCTGTTTCCAGACTGCACTGTAAGGAGCTGGTGAGGACTGATGTTAACATGGATGATGGAAGCAGCTGATTACGTGAATGTCTCCACATGGGGAGCCCCGAGTCAAAGCTCTCATGCACATTCTCTTAGGGCCCTAGCAAGCTAAGAAAGCAGTATTACCATCACCTGCATTTCAGAGAGAAGACAGAAGGGGCTCCGAAGTTAAGGGACTTGCCAGCGTCACCTGGCTCCTGTACCGTGGAACCTGGACCCAAGGCCAGGTCTGCCCCATGACACCTGCACTCACTCCCCAGGTCACGTAGTCTCCCGGGAGATGCAGTGGAAGGCTCTTTAAAGGAGGACTGAACACTCCTTGCCCACCTCTCCTGAGTATTTGCTCTGAGTATTTGTAGGTCTAGCTCATGCTGAGCAGGTCACTGAGATGGGCAGTGGGACTCTAGACCCGGGAGGACAGGCCCAGACACAGGTTTCAGACAACAGTTTTGTTCATTTCAGGCTGAACTCAAGACAGCTGAGGCTCTCACCTTGCACACACACCAAGAAGCACTTACCCAGACATGGGAATGATGGAAATGAAGTCCCTCTGGCCATTGTAGGCAACAAATCTGATGCAAGTGGAGCGTTCAAACTCAGCGAATGCCTCCAGGATGACTTGGCGGCTAGGCTTATCTGGGGAGGAGACATGCAGGCTAAAGCCCCAGCCAGGTTCCCTCCACTGCTCTCCCCAGACGTCTGCACTCGGGGAAGGGACTGAACTTTAGATCATTCTCCAATGTGGAATGTCAAGAAATGTCAGCGTGGGGCTTCCCTGGTGGCCCAGTGGAAAAGAATCCGCCTGCTAATGCAGGAGACATGGTTCGATCCCTGTTCTGGAAAGACCCCACATGCCGCAGAGCAACAAAGCGCATGAGCCACAGCTTCTGAGCCTGGGGTCTAGAGCCCGCAAGCTGCAGCTGCTGGAGCCGGCCCGCCCTAGAGCCCGAGCTCTGCAACAGGAGAAGCCCCCGTAACGAGAAGCCTGCGCACCCAGCTGAAGAGGAGCCCCTGCTCACTGCAGTCTGAGAAAAGCCCATGCGGCAGTGAAGACCCAGCACAGCCAATACAAGTAAATAAAAATGAAAAATAAAGTCTGCTGTGTGTCATTTAAAAAAAAAACAGAGCGAAGAGGAGCCGGGCTGCGTAGGGGGGAGGGCCCACGGCTCGGGGCCTGGGCCGACTCACCGTACTTGCCGGAGAGCAGGAAGGGGACCTCCACGACTCCGCCATTCTTGGGCCACTTGCTGCTGGCCGCCGAGAACAGCCGGAAGGGACTCTGAGGAGAGAGGGCAGCTCAGGGGGCGCCGGCCAAGCTTCCCGCCCCGGGGCTGCCACCGCTCAGGCCCCAGGAGCCCTCACGATGTGCGCAGTGAGGGTGGTGCTCATCAGGGAGCGGACAGAAACGAGGGGGCCAGTGGCCGGCTGCGTGATGCACAGCACAACCCTCTGTTCTGGAGAAAGAAGTTGCCACTTACTCTATCAGGGGGAGAAACCCATGAAATTCAGTCATGTTTATCTTTTCGCCAGTTTTTCTAGATGTCCTGTGGACAGCTAACAACAACATGTGAGATACGAAATTTTAAATAACTTGTGTAGGATATGATTAATGAAATTGAATATAAATGTATTTAAATTATTAATGATATCATTCAAGATCCTAATTTTTTCTACACTTGATAAAATATTCTCAGAAATGTTACTATGTCTCACTATGATCATAGATTTTTCCTTTTCCCTCATATTTCTTCTGATTTTTGCTTTATGTATCTTTCTTTGTTTGTTAAGGTATCCAACGGTTTATGATGTCTATCTTTTTGTGAATTGTACCTTTTATCATTAAAAATATTCATCTTTGTTTCATTTAAAAGTAAATTAATTTAAAAAAAAAAAAGAGAAACCCAGACAAAATATTTCCTGCAGAGGCTACCAAAGGTTTTACTGGATCCTGCTTTCACCCTGTGCATTCACTAGGTAACTGGAAACAGGGGCCCTGCCCCGGCCTGGGCTCTTCCACCCAGCTCCAGCTGAGCCATCAGTGGACAGCCTCGGACCAGCACCATGGTCTTGCTCTCGCCAGGTCACTGTCCTTTTCGAGAGGCTTCTGCCATCCCCAGCCTCCTAGAAGAAGGCCCTGATTCCCATCCAGCCTTCCCCCTTTCTGACCCCGCCCCTCAACCCTAGGCAGGATGGTGTGTGTTATTCCTCATTGTCTTCCTCAGACCATCACTGCTGCCCCCGATGTTCACCACAGAGACCTCCCCACATCCCCACCAGCCACTCTGCCAGCTGTGCTCGTCTCTTCCTTCGTCGCAGCGCTCCATGAGGACCTCCCCGGGGCAGGGTAGCAAGCTGGGGCTTGACGTTCCAAAACCCCTCCTGCAGGAAGCCCTCCATTCCAGATGTCACACCCTCCGCCAGGCTGGCTTATTCCTAACAACATTCGCGCTGACTTTGGCAAGAAGAGCTATGAGTAGCAAAGACAGATGGCTCACAAGTCACACCCCCATGACGCCTAGGGATGGGCTCACAGGTCTCTGACACCACCCGTGAGGTTATTTTACACGCGCGCGCGTGTGTGCGTGTGTGTGTGTGTGTGCGCTCACACTCACCGGCCGGAGGATGTCCCCCTCCAAGAGGAAGCTGCTCTCTGGGGACTCCTCTGGAATCAGCCCTGAGAAGGAAGGGACACATGTGTGTGGGTCCATGCCCCCACCCCCACAACAGACTCTAGGACATGCCCAGCAGAGACCTCCAGCCAAGCAACTCCAGGGTTCACCCTCGCCTGGGCACTGAGTCCCCATCTACAAGCACGTGCAGCACTTCTCAGCCTGATCACACCCTTCCCTGCTCAGACAGTACGTTCCTCCTGGGACCCACACATGCACAGTATCCAGTCCCAGGGAATTTGGCGGTTTAGTGGTTGGACTCCACACCTCCACATCAGGGGACACAGGTTCAGTCCCTGGTTAGGGAACTAAGACTCTGAATGCCATGCAGCACAGCCAAGAGAAAAAAAAAAAAAAAAAAACCCTGTCCCAGCCCCTGCCTTCTGCATCAGACACCCTTTGCTCCCAGGAAGTTGCCATTTCTTCCAGCTATCTCCACCCTCCGCTCCAGCCCAAGCCACGCTTCCAGCACATGCCCTGGCCCTCCTGCTCCACTCAGCCCCGACCCATCCGTGTGGCACTCCGGACCCTCACGGTGGCAAGTCACAGAAACTCCAGCCCCTTGCCATCAGGGGAGGGGGGCTACGGCTGCGCCCTCCTGTCCCACCGCCCCCTCCCCACACAGGGGGCAGCCCCTCTCCTGCACAGCCTCCCTTCTGGGACACCAGCCCCAACAGGAATCTTAGAAGAGTGCCTGGTGTCCTAAAGGTTAGGTTGCTTTGGTCACTAAGTCATGTCCGACTGTGCAACCCCACGGACTGCAGCACGCCAGGTTTCCTTGTCCTTCACCGTCTCCCTGGGTTTGCTCACACTCCTGTGCACCTAGAAGCAGAGCCTGAGCCAGGGAGCCATCTGCAGGTGACTGATAGCTGGATCACCCCGGGGAAGGACTGAGATCAGCAGGAGGGCAGCCCCAGGCTGACCTCACAAGGGCTTCGGACCCTAAGACTTACCCCGCCTTGAGGCAGGGGGCCAGGCCCAGGCCTGTGGGAGGGCAGGCCCAGGCCTGTGGGAGGGCCGCCCCAGGCAAAGGAGGAAGCACTTTCCCCGCCATCCCTGGACAAGGGCAGCAGCAGCATCCCCAGCAGCTGGGGAGGAGGTGTGCCTCCTGGCAAAGGGCCTCCCTAGGCTCACGCGGAGTCGTCGGGCCACCAGCAGCTGCTGAGAAACAGTGCCAGTGCAGCCTCAGGCTGATCTGGAGTTGGCCAGCTCCAATTAGTGACCCAAAGGCGGTGAGCCACCCTGCTCCAGCTTCTCACAGAGCAGGAGGCGGGCGAGCCACATCCAGCAGGCTCACATCTCCCAGGACAGTCTCTCCCGCCAGCCCCCTCCTGCCATGCTCTGAAATCCCCGTCTTTATTTCCGTGGGCTTTGCCCAGGTTTTCTGTGTTCTCATTCTTCACTGGAAATCCCCAGGCAGGGAGGCCTGAGACTCACCCTTCCTGAGACCCACGGCATCTCCCACCTGCAGGTCACCCCACACCAGGTGGAAGGCACGGTTCCTAACAGCTGTGAGTAATTCCACTCACACCAGACTTGGCCTGATAAAAGTCAAGAGTGTGTGTAGTCAATTGCTCAGTCGCACCCGACTGCAACTCCGTGGACTGCAGCCTGCCAGGCTCTTCTGTATTCAGGCAAGAATACTGGAGTGGGTTGCCCTTCTCCAGGGGATCTTCCTGACCCAGGGATCGAACCAGGGTCTCCTGCATAGCAGGCAGATTCTTTACCATCTGAGCCACCAGGAAAGGGTCTTGTCATATTTTAAAACCTCTACTTTTCCCCCTTCTCATAAAAGTAACACCCCAGTAGAGAGGACACAGAAAATAGACTTAAGAAGTTACCCATGAACTACTGCTCACCACGACCCACTTAGCAAGCTGGCACATCTCCTTGCAGCTTTTTCTGCTCGTCTGAGTGCTCAGCGTGGTTTTCATAGGCTACATGGACAACTTCATACTCCTCACCCCATGAGAAGACACAGTGCCCTCACCTTGGTTTATTGCAGGGATGTCCTTGTCCCAGGATGTCTGGGTCTCCTCAGGGGTGAGGTCTTCTGAGAATCTGGTCCCACAGGCTCCAGCGCAGTGAGAGGCTGAGGGTGCTCCTAGGATGAAGCCTGGGCCAGACACAGGTACATATGCACAATGGTTACGCAGGATAACAGGACATGGGGTGAGGGGAGCGGGGTGTCAGACCTCAGGACCCAGGCCCTTCATAAAGGCAGGCCTCCAGGAGGAGTCCTGGGAGCCCACCTGGCCTCCCCTGTCAGCCCCACCTGGCCCTGAGGCCTGGACAACCTTGCGGAAGGAGATTCCTTAGGGGAACAAGTGTTAAATGCTCAGGCGTGTCCGACTCTTTGTGACCCCATGGACTGTATGTAGCCCACCAGGCTCCTCTGTCCATGGGATTCTCCAGGCAAGAATACTGGAGTGGGTTGCCATTCCCTTCTCCAAAGGATCTTCCTGGCCCAGGGATCAAACCTGGGTCTCCCACATTGTGGGCAGATTCTTTACTGCCTGAGCCACTAGAGAAGCCCAGACAGTAAAGAATCGGCCTGCAATGGGGGAGACTTGAGCTCCATCCCCGGGCCAAGAAGATCCCCTGGAGGAGAAAATGGCAACCCAGTAGGACGACCAAGACCGGGCTTCAAAAGGCAGTCCTGGGCTCCCAGTGTCTGGGCAAGTATGGACGAGGAAAGGAGGGAACAGGAGGGATGGGGGAGACCTCAGGCTTCAACACTGAGGACATGGGGTGTTTTAGCTTCAGACCCTGCCCCCCGCCCCCTCCTCAGCCCAGGCCTCTGGAAATGGGCTGGGCAAGCCTGGCACGGAGGGCAGAGCATGAATGCCTGGAGGTGTCACTCCTGCTGTCTCCTGCCAGGCAGGCCCTCTGCCCCCCAGCATCCTCGGGAGATCCCCCTGGGTTCCCTGGGAGCTGGCTTCTAGGAGCATCCCTGGAAGCCCATTCTCTGAGCCATGCTGGTCAACTTACATGCCTGACAGCTGCAGCTACGCACTCTGGCCACACAAGCTCCACAGGCTGGAGCCAAAGTGAACGGGGTAGGAGAGTGAGGCAACCCACTTACCAGGCAGACAGATCAGAATCAGGACCCATGGCCAGAGACCTTCCATACTCATGCTGCCTGCAGCAGGCCCCCGTGGCCCCTCAGCTAGCAAGGGCACCGGTTCCTGGGAGATGAAGCAGCCTAATCGCAGACTTAGGACCACCACCTCCCTTAAATAACATCTTCGCCAGCCCCCACCTGCAGGCCCTCCCCAGCCAGTTCCACCTGGAGCCCCGCCCAACAGCTCCCAGCTGCGGCCCTGTCCTATCCTACTTGGACTCCCCCTCCCAGGCCAGGCCTGAGCCTTCTGGACCCTGGCCTGGCTACATGGGCTAGCAGGGGTCCCCAGCCTCTGGGCTCTGATGCCTGATGATCTGAGGAGGAGCTGATGGGGCAATAATAGAAATAAAGTGCACAAGAAATATAACGTGCTTGAATCATCCTGAAACTGCTCCCCCACCCCTATCCACGGGAAAGTTGTCTTCCACAAAACAGGTCTCTGATACCAGAAAGGTTGGGGACCACTGGAAGAAGCCGGGCACAGGCACCCTGCAGGTGTCCCACTGGGGGTGTACCTCCTCTCAGGTTCCCTCCCACCACCAGGGGGCAGAGAAGCATTGCAGAAAGGTGAGAGGCAGCCAGCACAGGGTGGAGCTTCACCCCTTTCCTGCCCCTGCCCTGTGCTCAGATGTGGGGAGCACTACCTGAGATCGTGAGGCACCCCCAGTCTGACTGTGGAAGCAGGAAAAAATCACGACGTTTTTATAAGCTTTTATTATGGTATACGGGCTTTTCTGGTGACTCAGACTGTAAAGAATCTGCCTGCCAATTCAAGAGGCCCAGGTTTGATCCCTGAGTTGGGAAGATCCCCTGCAGAAGGAAACAGCAACCCTCTCCAGTATTCTCACCTGGGAAATCCCATAGACGTGAAGAATAGTAAACAATCACAAAAGCAGGGAGAAATGAAGCTCATAAACTGAACACTGGGGTCAACAACACCCCAGAATAGCCGAATTTGTGGAAAAGTGAAACTTCTGGAAAGCTAGGCCCTCGCAAGGACACTGCCTCTGTCACCCTCACAATAGCCTTGCAAAATCAGCGTTTGTCCCCATTTCAGGGGTTCAAGAACTAAAGCCCCTTGCCCATATTCCCCTCCTCCATACCCCTCCTGGCCTCTTAGAAGGCCCATCCTCAGAGCTTGCTCACCAAGGGAAGACCTGGATTTAAATCCTGGAGGTGAAGGGTTTGAGGACATCTCCCCCACCAACGCCCAGTAAACGGAACTGACAGGGCCAAGGTGGCTCGGCATCCTGCCCTGCCTGGAATCCAGCGCTTCTCAAAAGGTGGGAGTCAGGATTACGGGCAGAGGGACTTCTGTGGCAGTCCAGTGGTTAAGACTTCATCTTCTAATGCAGCGGTTATGGGTTCAAGCCCTGGTCCAGGAACTACGATCTCACATGTCCTCCCCCTAGTGTAACAAATGCAGTAAAGGCTTTAAAAATGGTCCACACCAAAAAGCTCTTTAACAAGCAATCATGGGGAGAACATGATGAAGACAGGCGCCCCAACTGCCCAGGCAGGGTGTTCACATTGTGCGTCCATGTTACGTCGCTTCAGTCATGTCTGACTCCGTGCGACCCTGTGGACTGCAGCCCACCAGGCTCCTCTGTCCCTGGTTAACAGTGTAGGGATGGAGCTGACCGCTTCGGATGCGTGCTCGGTAAAATAACCATAACCATAAGAGAAACAGATTCTTAGTTTAAGAAAATGCAGCTTGCCTTGAGGGCATTGTGCTAAGTGAAATAAGCCAATCTCAACAGGACAAACGTGTGTGGTCCCACGTATAGGGTATTTCTGGAGGAGTCAGACTCAGAGGCAGATGGTAGGACGGTGGTCGCCAGGAGCTGAAGGAGCAGGGAATGGGGAATCGCTTAATGGGTACAGCGTTTCAGTTTTGCAAGACGAAAAAGTTCTGGAGATCTGTTTCATAATAATGTGAATGAACACTCTTAACACAATTAAAGTGCACACTTAAAAATAGTAAAGATGGTACATTTTGTTGCATATTTTTACAATTGAAATTTTTTCACAAATTAAAGGAAGGAAGGGAGGGAGGAAAGAAGAGAGAGGCTTCTCCAATGGCTCAGTGGTAAAGAATCCGCCTGCCAATGCAGGAGACACGGGTTCGATTCCTGGTCCGGGAAGATCCCACCTGCTGCTGAGCAACTAAACCTGTGCCCGAGAGCCCGGGAGCCACGACTACTACACGTGCCACAGCTCCTGAAGCCCGCTCACCCTGGAGCCTGTGCCCCTCAGCAAGAGAAGCCACCGCTCTGAGAAGCCTGCACACCACCACTGGGGAGTAGCCCCCCGCTGGGTGCAGCTGAAGAAAAGCCTCACAGAGATGAAGACTCCGCACAGCCAAGAACAATAAATATTTCTTAAAAGATCCTTATCTGCAAAGTCCCATCAAAAAAAGAAAAGAAGGGAAAGAAATGCAGTTTGCTTGAAAGGCGGACTTAAGAACAGGGAGGGGAGGGTGGAGGGGCGTGGGGGGTGAGGTGGAGAGAGGGTGGGATGGAGCTGGGTGATGGCAGGGTGAGCAGGGACCTCAGCCCCCTGTCCCGCTGTGCGTGGGAGGCCCAGATGACTCAGGGCCCCAGATGCCCCCCTTCCACCCCGAGCTGGGTATGCGGGTTGTGTAGACAGACCCAAACAATCCACTCGGGGCCTGCAAAATCCCTGAGAACAACCCCTAGCTCTGCTGAGTCCTCACTGGGGAGCACCTCCCCCACTCCTAGAGCAGAGGGCACAGTGTGGGGGGGGGCATCAGCAGGGGGGCCGTGTTCATTCCGTCTGAGCACAGGGCTGAGCAGACCACAGGCCCTGCCCTCAGCCAGGCTGGCTGAGGTGCACAACTACACACCTGGACAGCTTCCCTTCTCAGGTCTTCAGAAGCTAACATTTCCGGAGCACCTACTGTGTGCGGGTGCTGAGCTAAGCCTTTACTTGAATTGACTCACTAATTCTCAGCGCCACGCTACTCAGTGGGGGCCGATGACAAAACCCCATTTTACAGACCAGGAAACTAACCTACAGAGAGGTAAGCCCAGTCGGGCCCCTAACTGTCAGACCACACTGCCCTCCTCAGGTGTATCCTGCCGGACAGTCAGGACGCCCGGAGGAAGACCCAGGGTGCTGCAGAGATGACCCTGTGCTGAGTTGGAAGGACAAAATAGAGCTAGCCAGATGACACTATGAAGCCTAGGAGGATCGGCATGGAGGCTGACGCAGGACCGCTGCTCACTGCGCTGTCCCCAGGGCCCCAGTACCCCTGCTCTCCGGAAAACCACAGCACCCCCTTTCCAGCACCCGCTGGTGCTGGCTGGGCCCAGGTCTCACGTCTCCCCAGACATGCCGTCCATTCTGGGCACATAACTCATGCTCAGTGAAGACAGGCTAGTTGGCCGGTGTGAAGACCAGCAAAGCCCACCCCGGGCCACCTGCCCTCCCCCCCAGACATCGGCCACATGCTTTCCTGGGACAGGAACGAGCCCTGGTCACTACAGGCATCCTGAGGCCGGGGGCCCAGCCCAGGGCTGCAGAACAAGATCTGAGGGACTCCCCTGATGGCCCAGAGCCTAAGACCCCGCGACCCCAGTGCAGGGGGCCCGGGTTCCATCATGCCACAGCTGTGAGTCCACATGCTACAACTAAAGATCTCACACGTCACAACCGGGGCTCCCCAGGTGGCACTAGCAGTAAAAGGAGCCACGTCCCAGTGCAGGAGAGGCGAGAGACATGGGTTCCATCCCTGGGTCAGGAAGACCCCCTGGAAGAGGAAGCAGCAACCCACACCAGTGTTCTTGCCTGAAGAATCCCATGGACAGAGGAGCCTGGTGGGCTACCGTCCATGGGGTCAGACACAACTGAAGTGACTTACCACGAATGCACACACGCATGCCACAACTGGGGATCCCACATGCTGCAGTGAGGATCCATGGTCCCGAGTGCCACAGCTGGGACCCAGCACAAATACCAAATAAATTTATAATTTTTGGCAGTATGCAATTTGATGAACTAAAAAAAAGAAAGAGGTGAGGGCAGCATTGCCCCAGTACGGGCACATGTTATACACAGCCCAGGGGAACCCCATGACAGGCACACACAGACACACGCCGGTAGGTGTGCAGGTCACCAACAGACAGCCATGCCCATAGGAAGACACACACATACACACACATACACACACTTCACAAAGGAAGTGGGATCTGACTAGGGCAGAGCTGGGTCCAGCTCTCAACAGTACACAGTCTTCTCCCAAGATCAACACTGATAACTGGAATAAGGCTGGAGCCAGCCCCCCAGAAATCCCCACTTTCGGCTCTGCCTGGAAAAGAGCACCAACAGGGGGAGGACCAGGCTGGGAGGTGAGGTCATCCCTGCACCTTCCTCCTTTCATTTCCCAGACTCAACCACACAACGGAAGGTGAGGTCTGACTAATAAACAGCTTTGAGCACCTCCCCAGCCTGAGACCAGACGCTTGTTTCTTAAACAAAACAATATTTTATTGACACATCCTCAATGTTCCGTATAAATATAAAGTGCTAAGTTTCCAAACCCCCCACCCTCCCCGCTGCCCACAGGGCTGGGAGGAAGTGGAGGAGGGAGTGTTAAACGTCAGTTGAACACAAATAACTTTCCAGCGCCAACACAGGCGTGAAACGCTCCTGCGCACACACGCAAGCAAGAAGTTCAGACCCAGCAACGGCGTCACTTCCCGGAGCCCCGGCACAGGGTTCAGGCTCCAGGCCCTGGGGTGGACCACCCCCTAGAAAGGGGCCCTGGTTGTCACAGCTTGTTCCTCAGAGCCCTCAGGCTGCCAAGAGCTCCAACGGGGCGGTGGGACCAGTGGGAGTCGAGGGTGTAGAGTCCAGTTAGTTTCTGCCAGGGGGCAGGGAAGGAGGGAAGCAGGCACGCCCTCCAACCTCCTTCCGGGATGAGGATGAGGGCTGGCCCTCAACCCCCAGCAGAAGAGCACCAGCTGAGAAAGTCCAGTGCCTCCCGGAGGCCCCTCAAACCCCAAAGGGGCCGCTGTCCCTGAGGTGGGAGGGGCCGTGGGGACCTGGGGCCCCAGCTGTCCCCAGGAATCAGAGCTTTGTGAGCCCCCGCCCTGGCGAGGTCAGCACGGTGGGGCCCAGCCTCAGTGACAGAGCACCTGAGTCTCAAACTGCAGCAGCTGCCCCATGAAACTGAAGTTGGGGGATATGACTCCCCGGCGTTGCTTCACAAAGTCAAAGGCCTCATCCAGCCGGACGCGGCGACTCTGTATCAGGTACGCCAGGCAGATGGTGGCGGAGCGCGAGATGCCCGCCTGGCAGTGCACCAGCACGCGGCCCCCACTGTTCTTCACTGAGTCTGCAAGGGCAATGGGGGGGGGAATAGAGGTCAGACGACGGGAAGGTAGGCAGAGACAAGACAGGTGCCCCGCCTCCTCCCCCGGAATCCCGACAGGCCCCACCCTGTGGCCCACCCCTTACCAATGAAGCCAATGGCCTCCGGGAACCAGGCGCTGATCTCCACCATCTGATTGTCCTCCACAGGGATGCTCTTGTAGCGCAGAAGGCCCTCAAAGTGGTTGGGGCAGCTGGCTGAGACGTTGAGCACGGCGGTGATGCCGCAAGCCCGCAGCCCCTGCAGGTCTGACGAGTGGCTGCAGCTGCCCAGGTAGAGGTAGGGCAAGATCTCCACGGGGCCGCCCTGGACAGGAAAGAGGGACGATGGTGAGGTCTCCGCCCTGGCCCATGGGTATTCAAGCCTTCCAGGGGGACAGAGGCAGGGCCAACTGGCCCGGGCCTGAGGAGCTCTTAGCTAGGAGTCGCTGGTCAGGGATCAGACTCAGAACACGGGGGAGGACACACAGAGATACACACCCACAGATACACTCTTTCCCCCCAAACCCCCCTAACTACGATGCTCAGAGGACATACACAGGCTCACAGTGGCGCACACCAGCAACCCCCGCCCGGGCACACCAAAGGTCAGCACCACTGGAGAGCCGAGACACACACTCTCCCCACGGGGCTGCGGACGCGGGCGTCTGCGGCCAGACACACACATACATACATACACACACACACACACACACCCCACGGGGCTGTGGACGTGGACATCTGTGGCCAAAGACACACACACACACACACACACACACACACACACACACACACCCCACGGGGCTGCGGACGTGGGCATCTGCGGCCAAAGACACACACATACATACACACACACATACACACACCCCACGGGGCTGTGGACGTGGACATCTGTGGCCAAAGACACACACACACACACACACACACACACCCCACGGGGCTGCGGACGTGGGCATCTGCGGCCAAAGACACACACACACACACACACACACACACACACACACCCCCACGGGGCTGCGGACGTGGGCATCTGCGGCCAAAGACACATACACACAGGTGACTGTGGTCATGGGCACACTCTTGCGCCCACAACTGGCAGGCGGGACACTGGCAAGGAGCCCTTAACTCACCTGGTCATAAAAGGGAGCCCTGGAGTCGGAGCGGTTGTTGTCGTTGTTGTCAGCCGTCATCGCGGGGACCGGGGACTCAGAGCACAGATCGGGGCAGCAGGCTTGAAAGCGATCGAAGCCTCCTGCAGAGAGGACCAAGACACGGTTAGCCGGGAAGGCCTGCCTGGGGTCGGACACCGGACGTCCGCGGGCAGGGGACGCGAGCTGGGGACGCGGGCCGGCCGGCCGGCGCTCACCTGACAGGAAGCACACGGCGGCGGGTCCCGCGCGGGTCTCGTGCAGGAGCGCGGCGAGCAGCGCGTGGGCCGGGCCGTCGGGCGGGAGGTCGGCCACCGAGGCGCTGCCCTCGTCCAGCACCACGGCCCGCGCCAGCTCCCCGCGGGCCAGGCGCGCCCGCAGCGCGCGGTCAGGCAACAGGCAGGCGAGGGCGGCGGCGGGCGGGCCCCGCGCGCGGCGGCGCAGCAGCGCGTTCCAGGGGACAGGGCGCGCGGCGCGCACGTGGCGGCGGCAGAAGGCCAGGAAGGGGCGGCAGTCGAGCACCAGCGTGCGCTCAGCCTCCCGAGGCTCCCGCAGCAGCGCGCCCAGCGCCGCGCAGTCCAGCTCTCGCGCCGCCTCCAGCCCCATGTTGGCCCCTGGAAGCCTCCTTCCCCCTCTTCCCGCTCCTCTTCCTCTCCTTCCCCTCTCCCTGCCTGCTCCCCGGGCTCTCGCGGCGGCCGCACTGCCCCAGCCGTCTGTTTCTGGCACCCTCTCCAGGGCCCAGGTTTAAGTAGCCGTGGGCCGGCCTCCCGGGTCGCCAAACAAGGGCAAAGCAGGAAGGCGCCGGTGCCGCCCCCGCGGTCTCACGCGGTGCGCAGGCGGGGCGGGCCGGGGCTGGGGCTGGCTCGGGGGAGGGATGCGCTGGTGGAGGAAGCCGGGGACGGCTCTGCAGGGAAGGTGTTTGCCCAAATACCCGCCTCCCACCTTGCCGCCCCAGGGCTTTTTCTGAGCGCTCCCACACTGGACCTCACTCGGGGCCTTGATGCCCCTTGACTGGCTTCGTCTCCCATTTCCCTGTTCCTTTCCTTCTCAGAGTCTCCCCACTCCTAGGAATCTGTTACTACAAAAATCACTTCTGTGATGGCTCAGCGGGTACAGAAGCCAGGTGCAATGCAGGAGACACAAGAGACACGGGTTCAGTCCCTGGGTCGGGAAGATCCCCTGGAGAAGGAAATGGCAACCCACTCTAGTATTCTTGCCTGGAAAACGGTATGTACAGAGGAGCTGGCTACAATCCATGGGGTCACCAAGAGTGAGGCACTGCTGAGCCATTAAGCACGCTGTTACCGAGGATGATGTCCACATTGGAGGTTGGGGACCCAGCTTTGTTGTACCTTTTCTCTTCTTCACAGAGACCCTGGGCAGGAGGAGCTTTATACCCCGACCCCCACACCACCCGTTTTATGGCCGAGACCAGCACTGCTGCTGCTCAGAGGCCAAGCACGGCCGAAGATGGTCCCCTGAGCCCAAGAACCAGAGCACTGGCCTGAGGAGGACCCCTGGGCTGTGGCATGGGGCGGGCAGGGGACCTGTGATGACCTTCCCGTTATTAGTGGAGTGAGGCCTTCTCCCCTGGAACTCAGGGGAACCCCAGGGCCCAGGGTGAAGCACTTCCCCAAGTCACAGGCAGGCCCTGAAGGGGAACTCAGCTGACGCTGCTGGGCTGTCCCTGGGCCTTGTGGGAATTTCAGGAGCCTCTCCAAGGGGAAGAGGGAGAAGAGCTACCTGAATCTGCCTCCCCCACCCCATTGCTCCCCCTCAGAGCTCGCCAGAGGCGGGCAGCAGAGACCCCTGGGCAGCAGGGCCCCTGCACTGGACTTGAGCAGGGCCAGGAGTAGTAAGACTGGGGAGCCCTTAGTCCACATCCTGCCCACCCCCACCTCATCTGCCAGCCCTCGGGCGGATGTGGTGAGCCCCAGGTGTGCGTGGGGGTCTGGGCCCCTGGACTAGGGCCAGCAGTGTTGGCAGCTGAACTCTGCAGAAGCAGAGACATCCAAGTGTGTGGGGACAGTGCTCTGGAGTGGGAGCTGCCCCCACCCCTACCCCAGCTGCATGGGATTTCAGAACCCACTCACCAGGCTCCCACTCAGGGCCTGTGTCACCACTCTATGCCCTTTGTAAGAGCCTTCCAGTTCTGCTGGAGACCCCTAGGTCTAAACTGTCTCGGAGGACTACCGCCAGGCCCCGTTGTGGCCCCTGAAGCCCTCCACTTGGCTGGTTAACTCTGAACTCTTCCCAGTGATGTGTGGATGTGTCTGTACGTTCATCACATCTGTTCTGCGATGCTGGAGACAGAACTGGTAGCTTGTGTGCTGCGAGGCAGGGGGATGCAGGGGAGAGGAGCCTCAAGGACTCCAAAGATTCCTGGGGCAGGTCACCTTCTCAGGCCTCAGTGTTCCCACCTGTAAGATGGGAGCTTATAAGAGACCAACTGCTCACCCACACTGGTCCGAAGGCTCCGAGGCTGTGCCACTGCCCGGACACCCTCAGTGCTCCGTCCCTCCCTCCCAGGCCAGTCTGGAGGCTGAGGCGGCAAAACCCACAACAGAGCCAAGGAGTCTGGGCCACAGATCCCAGCGGCTGATATGGGCGCTTATCCTTGGCATCAGCCTGGTGAATGACTTAATGGCTGACTCCGGGGGCAAATTACAGAGCACATAGGATAGTCAGGTCCCATCTTGCTGACCCGTGGGCTGGCGTCACCTGTTCTGCTGGGAGCCACGGACTTCCAGCTCCAGGGGAAGAAGCAGACAGGACTGGCCAGCTGGGGTTCTGGCTCAGAAGGGAAATTCAGCCCAGCCACATAGGGGCTCTGGGACTCCTGTGCCGGGCTGAGCATCCTCCCCTCCTGGGGTGAAGAGAGTGAGCCATGCCGGGAGGCCCCACATGGGCTCGGGAGTGGGAGCCTGTTGGTGACGTTTTGCGGGGCCCTGCCCAGCCCTCTGGTCAGAACCAGTGACTTCTGCCTGAGGTGACTACATGCATGTCCCCCCCCCCCCCGCTCCATTCCTCTGTCTTTGGGGTTGTCCCCTTTTCAGCTCTGGAACACAGATTCAAGTAGGCCTGACTTAGCCATGAAGGAAGGGCTCGCCTTGGCCCCTTTATTCTATTCCCAAACTAGGGAAACCCCCACCCCCATAGGGGGTGACAGCCTGAGCTCAGGGTGAGCAGAGATTGGGAAGAGGATGGAACCCACGTCCCACCCCCACTTCTGCTCTGACTAAAGATCCCCCCACCCTGGGTGAGTCATGACCCTGGGATAGCTCTCCCCCGTCTGCCACCCCCCTCCAGGACCACCGTGCCTGGCAGAGAGGAGGCGGGGCCCTGGACACGTGGGTGGAGGACAGTGTGAAGGGGGGTCTCGGTCACACTGGCCCCCCGCAGACTACGGGTCCTGGAGGGAAGGCCCCTGCCCTCTCCACTTGGTGGTAAGGGGACAGCAGCGGCCAGGATGGGGGTACGGTGGATGCCATACTCAGAGGTTTTGGGGAGTTTTGTTTTCCTGGCCTGGCTGCTACAGAGCAGACACTATCAAGGAGGTTTGGGACTCAGCTTTTCTTTGATTAAAATCCCCAACTGGAACAAGTGATGATCCTGTGTCATTCTCATTTGTAACCATCTGTTTTGCCGGCTCTTTATGTGTCACTAGCCTCCTGCCTTTGGGGTTCCCGTCTTCCCCTGCCCAGGCCAGCACATCGACCTAGCTCCCGCCACCCCCACCCCTCCTATGCAGAGAGGTTTCCCTTCCAGGGGCGCACGAAGCCCTGCGATTGCATCGTGTTGTTGCGTCTCGTGGTGGTGTTGTTTTCCTTCTCCTTCCAAACCCACACCCCCAGTAGATGCCCCTGGGAGAGAGGAAGAAATGAACGGTGTGACTGCAACCCTTAGGCCAGGGCAGGTATGAAGGTGAGAGTGACAAGTGACAGCCACCCCCAGCACGCCAGAGCGAGCCTGTGAGTCACGGTGACGTCAGGCTTCCGGGGCCAGGCCCCTGCCTGAGCGGCGTGGGGGCCGCCCCCACAGGCTCCTGCCAGGCGAAGGCAGGGCCTCCACGCTCTGCGAAGTTGGCCCTGTCTAGCACAGTGGGGAGGGCAGGGAGGGACCAGTGAGGAAAAGGTCCCCGTGGGCAGCCAGCCCTCAGCAAGGCAGGCTCAGAAGTGGCCCGCAGGTGGCGGAGGGGGCTGGCATCTGTCCCCATGCCTGTGTCCTGTCACTGGACGCTATGGATGCATCAAGAAGAAAGTCTCCCAGAGAACAGGCTTGTGGTTGCCAAAGGGGACTGGAAAGGAGGAAGGATGGATTGGGAGTTTGGGCTTAGCAGATGCAAACTGGTATATGTAGGATAGATAAACCACAAGGTCCTATGTACAGCAGAGTCAGTCAGTTCAGTCGCTCAGTCGTGTCCGACTCTTTGTGACCCCATGGACTGCAGCATGCCAGGCCTCCCTGTCCATCACCAACTCCTGGAGCTTGCTCAAACTCATGTCCATCAAGTTGGTGATGCCATCCAACCATCTCATCCTCTGTCGTCCCTTCAACTCCCGCCTTCAATCTTTCCCAGCATCAGGGTCTTTTCCAATGGGTCAGTTTTTCACATCAGGTGGCCAAAGTATTGGAACTTCAGCTTCAGCATCAGTCCTTCCGATGAATATTCAGGACTGATCTCCTTTAGGATGGACTGGTTGGATCTCCTTGCAGCCCAGGAACTCTCGAGTCTTCTCCAGCACCACAGTTTGAAAGCATCAACTGTACAGCACAAGGAACTATATGTAATATATATATTTCTATTATATAATATATATATTTATATTATATATGCCATATATATGTAATAACTATATGTAATGGAGGGACTTCCCTGCTGGTCCAGTGGATAAGATGCTGCACTCCCAGTGCAGGGGACCCATGTTCAATCCCTGGTCAGGGAACTAGGTCCCACACACCCCCACAAAGAGCCTGCATGCCGAAATTAAGACCCATGCTAAGTGCTAAGTCTATTCAATCGTGTCCGACTCTTTGCGACCCCAAGGACTGTAGTCCACCAGGCTCCTCTGTCCATGGGATTCTCCAGGCAAGAGTACTGGAGTGGGTTGCCATTTCCTATTCCAGGGGATCTTCCCGACCCAGGGATTAAACCTGAGTCTCCTGCATTAGCAAGTGGATTCTTTACCACTGAGTCACCTGGGAAGCCACTATACTTCAATAAAATAAATTTTTTTAGAAAAGAAGAAAGTTGCCATTTGGGGCTGGTGTGACTTTCATGCCTTTCAAATATTTGCTTTTCCTCATTTTAACAAAGGCTCCGGACCTTCTCTAAGCATCCACATCCAGGTCACGCATTCTTTTCCATATTTATTCATTTACCAGTTTCCTCACACAGAAAGTATATGCTGTGTGTGCCTGTTATGTGTCAGGTACTGTTCTGGGTGCTGGGGATGTAGCAGTAAGTCACAAACCACTACCCTCAGGGAGCTGACCTCATTGTCTGAGTAACATTAGTTTTTGAGACTACATTGTATTCATGGTTTTACACCATGAATAATGATGATAGAGTAATGATATGGTTTCCTTTAAAAATAAATTTTAGG